TGGCAACAGCTTTATCATCAAAACAACATCATGCTTACAAGGAGTTAGGATGACTCGGGCAAGATAGATTGTTTTGCAAATTTATGCCTCACGGAACAGCGTACGCAAGGGAGTTAAGGAAAATTTCAGACATGCGCAGATGACGTCCCTTGTTGTGTTTACTTCTCCCCTCTGCGCTTTTAAAACTTTAACGTAGAATATCTTATCAAAACACAAAGTCTCTGGTAGTTTAATACTTGAAACGCGAAGACTGCAACGGAGTTAAGGATTTTACCGTTTTATTTTTTTTCTTTTCATCGACTTGGTGGTAGAAATGCTATTTTTTCGTACTGTTTTGTCATTCATTGCGCGTGGTGTTTATTATTATTAGGAATTTCGAAACAGACAAGTTCAAGAATTGGCATCGTAGTTTCAAGGCAAATTGAGGTTTGGAGTCCACTGTTGTTCGTATTAAAGTTATTTTCATCTTTTTAACGCGAGGAATGAAATATATCGACTGAGTAAAGCAAGCGCACGATGCTCGAGGTAAGATTATAAACTAGGTTATCTTGACCCTATCTTGGGGGTGTTGGTGGTAATGGGTCGATTAGCTTACATTCAATATCGTCCACCCGAGATCGAGAGTGAACTCCGGTTTATTCGTCAACAGGAACCAAGAGCAGTTAATTATCAATCACTTCTCGGGTACTCGTTGGTGCTATTGATAATAACAACAAACATATGAAACATATGTGTGAACTGCGGTTATAAGACGTATATGAGAACGATTCTTCGCAGTAAAGCACTATTTGAGCAATAGTGAAAATCAGACCTGAAAAAAATTTCAGGCCTGTACGGGATTCGAACCACTGACCTCTGCGATACTAGTGCAGCGCTCTACCAATTGAGCTAACAAGCCAACTGGGAGCAGGCCATCAAATTAATTCGATATAAACCCGTAGATGATAAATCAAACAACAACAAACATATGAAACATATGTGTGAACTGCGGTTATGAGACGTATATGAGAACGAT